TCTGTTTGGGTAATCTTTCTATACAGAGTCCACAAAACAAAAAACGTATACAATAGTATATTTTTTCAACTGATGGAGTTACTCTTGTATGGGGGACCCTAGAGAATGTCATATATCACACAAAGAGAATGTCATATATAGTACAAAACTCACTACACTGCCAGTTCCTAGAAATTAAAAATGTATGTGCAGCAATCTCAGTGACCAAGGTTATGCAAGCAGCAGTTTGCCATACTAACAAATGTCAGGAAGCTAATGGCCCCCACTTTGAGCACCTCTTGTAATTGTAGAGGTCAAAGGTAACATATTAATCTCATGATATCTCAATAAATTTAATATTAAAATATTTATACAAGTTTTTCTTTTCCTGGAGTGTGTACATATTTTATGTGCAGACCCTGTTATATAATATATAGATTATATGGATTAATATAACAAATTATTACATATAATTATAAATCATAGTATATATGTAAAATTTCAATCTGTTCAATTTATCATTTTGTCATTTATTATTTTTCTGATTTTTTTATTTCTCCATATTTTCTTGAAGTTCATTAAGTTTCTCTAAAACAATTATTTTGAATTACTTGTCAGGCTGTTCATATATCTCTGTTGCTTTAAGGTTGGTTACTGGTTCTTTATTTTGTTTTTGATTGTTCTGATTTTTCTCCATTTCTTTAAGGTTGGTTATTGGTGATTTATTTTGTTTCCCTGATTGTACTTGATTTTTCTGCCCATGTGTGGGTGTTTGGATGTTTGAAGAAACACTTATCCCCATCTTTGCAGACTAGCTTTGTTTACGAAAGCCCTTCACCAATCAATCATCCAGAGCTTCTAAGAAAGTCATCTGGTGTAGTCTACGGGCAAGCTTATTCCTGGAGTCCTCAGGCAGATAAGGTTGTTCTTGAGTCAACATTTCTGGCTTTGGGGTTGCAGGTTTGGGCCTGAACCTAATTGTGTCCATGGAGGTGAGCTGAGGCCTGGGCTTGTGAGAAAGGACTTAGCACCTGTATCCCTGGGGACTAGCATGAAGCCTGGGGCCACCGGGGCTGACCTGGTGCTAGGGAAGTCTTAAGTCTGAGTCTGTGGGGGCTGGTCACATGGTGGGATGGACCTGGAGCCTGAATCCAAGAGGGCTGGTCTGGTGGTAGGGCATTCCTGGATCCTGAGTCTGTTGGAGCAGACTTGTTAAGTCCACAGGTGCAGGTCTGGGCCCCAGTGGTCCATAGGAGCTGGTGTTAATGCTGGAGGCAAAACCTGGTGCTCACTTCTTTCTTCTTCCCTCAAGAGGACAGTATCTTTATGCTGTACTGCCTAAGGTTGAGGAGGAGGGTGCCATGGTAATGTAAAATTGTCCTTTCTATCCTTCTCAGTCTATTTTTTCTTATTTCTGTGCTACCCCCAGCTGCTGTAAACTTTCACTTGGTGTATTTGTCAGGGCTTACTAGAGAAACAGATTTAATACAAGATACACAAATGTATCAGAATTTACAAGTTTAGCTTACAAAGGATGCCCACAAGAGTCAGGTGTGGAAGAGCGCAAAAGGTCTGTCTGTGCACTGGTTATCTGAAGGACTCAGTACTCCAGGAGCTCACTGTAGTGTTCCGAGCGAGTCTTTATCAGGAGGCCAAAGGGTCTGCAATGGAAGTCTGAAGAATCTGTGCCAGAAGTCTGAAGGGTCAGTGCTGGAGGCTGAAGTCTGCACTGGAAGGATGAAGACTGCACTAGAAGCCAGGAGATGACATCTAAGGTGAAGGTAAAGACTGGAGCTCCTCCAAAGAAACAGAAACAATCTTTCTGTTTCCCTTTTATACCATTCTGGTGATAATCCTCCCTAGGGTGAGTCTTTCACACCCAGAACTATACTGAGCCAATTTAGTTGGGCATTTCTTTCTTGTTGACACAATCCTCAGCTTTTATGAAGGTATTTTTACGTGCAGAGTAGTTAAAATTGATGTTTCTTGGAGGAGTGTAGATTTAAGTCTGGGTTTTGCTATTCTTATCTGGGTAAACTTGGCCAAATTTCTCACCCTCTGAGCCTTAGCCTTGTCATTTCTATGTAGCTCATAGCACAGCTGGGGATTGACAGGATAATCTGCTTAATGAGTGGAAGGTGTGATTTTTTTTTACAGACCCTTGAGTGCCCCTGATTATAGAAGTCTTCCAGAACCTCTTGAGGACTAACATTGTGTGCCATGGGATAGCCCAGGGAAGCAAGAAATATTGGCATTATCTACTTTTAGCTGCACAAAATAGTTAAATATAACTATAATCATGCCTGTCTCATTTGGAGGGTCTTTTGTTTGCACTGCTTGGCCCTCAGACCTTTGTTCTGTTGTGATGTTATTCATGGATAACTAGGTAGACATCAATATAAGAAACTAAATTGATCCCAAAGCAAGGCAGAATAAAAGGGAGGGGAATGGGGGAGAAAAGTCAGTATGTTTATAAGTAACTTAGTGGAAAGGAATTCTGCATCAGAGAAAGAGGGAGATTCAAAGTGTTCCTGCAGGAAGGTGAAATTTTGGGATATGTTTGAAGAAAGTTTTATGGGATGTCTTGCTTTGTGATGTGTAAGGTTATCCCCTCCTTCCATGTCCCCAAGAAATCTTCAGGAAAGATCTGTTATTCTTCAACACCCTGAGATAAGTTTTGTGTTTTAAGACAAGAGGTTTTTTGATCCACAAAGAAGCTCAGACTGGACAAAACTCAAGTGACTCAGGCCTTTATCACTTGCTTTCCTACTTCAACTACGATCCATTTACCCTCATCTCCTGCCAGATCTGTAGAGCTGGGAGGGAAATCTGATGGTGGAGGCTTTGGGTGGGGAGGATGCTGTGGGAGTGATGGTGACTCTTCAATATCTTTTATCTCTATACTACACCCAGGTGCTATAACATCTAATCTGAGTTCCTTAGCTTTTGTGAAGGCATTTTAAAAATTTTTATTGGTACATTTTAGAAACACAATATAATCATCATTGGAAATTTGTACTTTTACATAATCTATCATGATTCTTTTTCCTCATTCCCCTCCCCTCAACCCCTCCACCCTTTCCTATTTACAATAATAGTACTCCATTTTATATTAAAAAAACCCCACAAATTTTCTTTATCTAGTCTCCAGTTGATGGGCAATTGGGCTGTTTCCAAGTTTTGGCTATTACAAACTGTGTCGCTATGAACATGGGTGCACATATATCACTGTGGTATGATCCTTTTAATTCTTTGGGGAAGATAACCAGCAGGGGAATAGCTGGGTCAAATGGGACTTCCAGTCCTAGTTCTTTGAGGTATCTCCATACTGATTTCCACAGTGGTTGCGCCAGTCTACATGCCCACCAACAATGGAGAAAGGTTCCTTTCTCCCCACAACCCCACCAGCATTTGTTAATGTTTTCTTGATGGCAGCCATTCTTTCTGGGGTAAGGTGGACTCTCAGTTTTGTTTTCATTTGTATCTCTCAAATAACCAGTGATGTTGAACATTTTTTCACCTGTTTATTTGCTCTACTTCTTTGTCTGAGAAATGTCTGTTCATTTCAGATGCCCATTTTTGGATTGAGTCTTTAAATTTGAGAGGTCTGGTTTTTAAAAGTTCTTTATATATTCTAGATAGTAGACCTGTCTGAGGGACAGCTAGTAAAATTTTTTCCCCACATTATTGGTTGTCTCTTCACGCTGTTGGTGGTTTCCCTTGCTGTGCAGAATCTTTTTAATAAGAGATCCCACTTGTTGATTCTTTGTGCTAGTTCACAGGCAGCTGAGGTTTTGTTCATGAAATCTTTTCCTAAGCCAATGTCTTCAAGAGTTGTACCTAACCTCTCTTCCAGCCGGTTTAGTGTCCATTTTAATATTTAGATCTTTAATTGATTTTGATTTTAGGTTAGTGCATCATGAGAGATATAGGTCTAGTTTTAATCTTTGGCAAGTTGAAACCCAATTTTTCCAGCACCATTTATTAAAGAGGCTATCTTTCCTCCAGTGAGGGTGCTTGGCTCCTTTGTTGAAGATGAGGTGGCTGAGTGTGTCTGGAGTTATTTCTGCATCTTCTAATCTGTTCCACTGGTCCTCAGGTCTGTTTCTTTGCCAATACCATTGTTTTTTATCATAGTAGCTTTGCAGTATAGTTTCAAGACGCGGATTGTGATATCCCCTACCTTGTCTTTGTTGCCTAGAATTGCTTTTGGTATTCTAGGTCTCTTCTTGTTCCAAATGAATTTTTGGATTGTTTTCTCAGGTCTATGAAGTATGCTGCTGGGATCTCAATTGGGATTGCATTAAATCTATATAGCAGTTTTGGAATTATGGCCATTTTCACTATATTGGTTCTTCCTACCCAGGAGCAAGGGATGTCTTTCCATTTTATGATAGCCTCTGTGAAGGCATTTTCATGCAGAGAGTAACACTGATATTTCTATGGTGGATGGGTGCTGAAAAGTCCTATTCCACTATTTTGTTGTCGTATACTAGCAATCTACATGTACTGACTCGTCCAATACTTAGAATAACCCTGAGGTAGACAGCATTACTGCCTCCACTTTAGATGAAACTGAGGCATAGGTTAGATGACCCATTATTAAAGTCAAAAGTTATTAAGTGTCTAAAGCCAAATGGGCTCCAGAACAGAGTATAAAGAGCTAGAAAGCCTGCACGCTCACATTTAAGTTCATTCACAAGTCCCATTAGGTCCCATTAGGACCTTCATGTAGACTTAGGCAAGTCAGAATGTCATTGAACCCCATTTTCTTAGTTCATAAAATGAGAATGGCCCAGATGATCTGTAAGCTTCTTTCCCATAGCTGGCTTATGCAATCACACTTTCTATTCTTTAATAATATGGGTTAACTGCTTTGCTATCACCCACATATTGTCCTTAATCCTTCCTCTGCCATTACTTGCTCAAACTGCTGCTATGTGACCTTGTTAGTTCATCTCTAGTGCTATCAGTTTCCATACCTGAAATGTTGTGAAAATTTTTTCCCTTAGGATTTCAACTGGAGATTTCACCTCTTTTATTCTGCTAGGAATTTATTTTACAAGGCATCTTTAAATAAAGGGGCAATCATGTGTAGCACAGACATCTTACGTATGCAGGATATGTTAAATATTTTGCAAGAAAAATTGGGTCTCGAGTTTCTTTGGTTAGCCTTTCCATTCCCACAGGATTCAGAACACCACTGAATTGGCAAGAAGGCGTGACAGACACTTGAGGAAAATGTTTAGGTTCACCTCAACCTGAAGGAGAATCAAGAAAACATATTCATGGCCAATAGAAATGATTTTATTTATAAAATAACTAAAATATAAACATCTCTAAATATAAATACTCTTCACAAGAGACCTATAATTACTGCCTGTGACCACTGGCAGGGACAAAAGATGAGGAGTCCACAGGTGTCTCCTGGGTCACCAGGATCTTAAGGCCAAATGTGCATGCAGAGAAGCAGGGCTGTACAGCTGTAATTCCTTTAAAAGACAAACTTCATAGTTATCTATTATAAGGCAGGCTTCATAGCTCCTGAAGAACTTAAGTACAGGAACCCTGCTAAAACCAAATTTTCAGAGCCAGATTCTAAGGGGTTAGCAAATATCTTCCTGTGACCAATGGGAGTTCTTATCAGGCACTTTCGAATCTGTTTGGCTTTGAAAACTGTCCCTGAAGCATGGAGGTTAGTGGTGAAACTGAAAATCTTATTTCCTTGTGTAGGATAAACTACTTCTGGGACTGCTTAACTGAAATAAGTCACATGGGTTATGTTTTCTGCAACTGTGGATGTGACTAAATGGCAACAGTATGAAGGAACAAGGTATGCAGTCCTTGATTAGGCTGGACTGGTTAGGGATTTGTGCAGAACTAGTACTTTTAGTGGAGGCTGGAGCTCCGATCCTGTTTTTCTAGAAAAATCTATGCATTGTTGACCATAGAGAGAGGGTCACGAGACATCACATTCAGACTATAAAGTAGAGGTGACTGTCAGAAAGAGTAGATGGCTGTATCTAAAAAGGAAAGAGAACTTTTCAGATAAAAGATCAAAAGAAAATAAAAACCCTAATTACTTCTTAGCAGAAGAAAGCAGTTGAATACAGTGAATATAGTTGAATACAGTGAAATAAAAGATTAGTACTTTAGGGACTTTAGAAATTAGGTGTGAGAAAAGAAATGTGTGCAGGACACTAGAGGTATCTCAGAAGCTTTGAAACACTGGGTTTGGTGCCATCTTAGCAAATTCTTTGCCACATGCCAAAATATAACCTGCCTGGGCCCTCAGAGCCCCATCCAAGTCAGTTTCTGACCAGTTCGTCATGGAGCATGGGGCCACTTCAGACTCAGTATGATACAAATGATACTATCAGAGATTCCTGCAGACACAGGTGCAGAATACTGGTGTTCTGACTGGAAATTTCTCATTTCCAAAGGCTGACCCAGCACTTGCCTCTTGTCTTGTGGTCACTGAATCATTTGCAAGTCCCAGGGTACACTTCAAATCCTAGAAATTCTAGGGAGCATCAAGATTTATAACCCAGTGGAGAAGAACAAAGCGTGTCTTACTCTCCACCAGTCATGTTAAGCAGTGCAGCAGGGCCTGGGGCTCAAGAGCAGGTGCCGCTCAGCAGGCCACCAGAACCTCTCAGCAGACTGAAAGCAAAGGCAGTAAGGTTGAGTAGGAGGCACAATAGGCTCAGGTGTACTCAGTTTTGCGGATATAATTGGATGGGACGTAGCCCTTCTTCCCATTAACTTCAGCTAACCACCACTCTGTATTGCCGGTAATGTCTTTAAACTCGAGGATCTTGAGTCTCTGATTGGCTGACACACTCAGCTCATTTGGGTTTCGTGCTTTGAAGGTATAAACAGCAAAATAGACCTGTGTTAGGGAAAGAGGGAGAGTTAGGAAACTGCTTGGAGCAATGCTGTCCAACAAAACTTTCTGTGATGATGTAAATGTTCTATATCTGGATATAGCTAGTGACCTAAGAACTGAAATTTTAATCTTATTTATTTTTTAACTAAACTTTAAATGGCTATATATGGCTGGAGGACCCATAGTGAAGAGGGAAGGTTCAAAGAAAACCAAAATTCACACCTTTTAATTCTTTCAAAAATGCCCTGAAGCCTCAGTCAATATGGAAGATGGCTGATCTATGAGGGTACCCTCCTGTTCCCAATTCTATATCCCATCCAGAAGTGCGGAACTAGAGCTGTGGGTGGGTGGATAGCTCAATGGTAGAATGCTTGCCTAGGCAAACACAAGGTGAGAGGAGGGGTGGGGAGGGAAAGAGAGATGGGGGGGAGGAAGGAGGGAGGGGGAGAGAGATTCAAAATTGAATTTTTAAAAGCCCCTAAAATAAGACATAATTAATTTCCAAGCAAGAAATTAAGATGTCTAGGTGCCACAGATGAAAATATAATGCAAAGTGAGGGTGGTATTGAGTAAGAGGAGAGGCCATGAGGGGTTTTGGTAGCAGCCTCTCATGAGGGCAGATACACATCTGATGCCTGGGGTTTTAGGACCCGGTCAGCCTCAGAAGTTCACGAGGATAAAATGAGTTCGCATTCCCAAATCAGAATCTAGGAAAGGTCTGTTGCTTTGTCCATGTGTCTAGAAAAGGCATACACACAACCATCAGAAAGAAGGGAGCACGCCTAGCTGCAAGGAGTATGGCATGGAAAGTCTGAGCTGAGAAATGGTGAGAAGCAGCCACTGGAACTCAGAGTCTAGCAGAAGCAACATCTCCACAACCTGGGATGTGACTGGCAACAAAGGGGTGAAACAGAGACCCCCCCTCAGCTGTGATTCTGAAAATGATTTTAAAATATGTGGGCTTAAGCTGGGTATGGTAGAGCCTGACTGTAACACCAGCTTCTCAGGAGGCAGAGGCAGGAGGTCTGAAAGTTTGAGACCAACCTGGGCAACTTAGTGGGAAAACAAGTGGAGGAATGTGGCTGGGGATGGAACTCAGTGGAAGAACACTTGCCCAGTGTGGATGAAGTCCTAAATTCAATCTCTAGCACCACAAAACAAACAAAAAAAAATGAGTTTAAAAGTGCAAGATATAAAGGTTACACCAAATTCACAAGACAGGAGCAGGCCATTAAAAAAAGAACAGGAGCAACTGAAGTAGCCCCAAAATTTCATTTCTAAATTCCAGAAATAAAAATATAGGTATCTGCATAAAAAACTACGTGGATTAGATAGCAGATTTTGTATGGTGGAAGACTTAGTGAACTGGAGGAATGGAAAAAGTTTTATCATGACACCTTTTCAGTCCCACTGACCAAGCAGGTGGTGGCCAGTGATATCCTGAGAAGCCTCAATCAGAGGTCCAGAGATGCTCACAGGGATAGCAGCTTTCCTCCATGCACTCACCTCCAGATAACACCCAGACCCTGGGCAAGCCTCTGCCTTGCCCAATCCTGCACCCACAACACACCTCCTGCCCCTCTGGGCCACAATGGTAAGCTAGGGGAGCACTTACCTGACTGCCTTCTGCCTCACTGCTTTCTAGCTTTTCATTTTTATCTTCCAGAGCCTGGGCTGCTATTGCACATCCTTTTGCGAGGTCTCTGCCTTGTCCATTTCGGCTCAGTACAACCTCCGGATGTCTGGTGCTTCGGTAGCAGCCCCTTATACTGGCCACATCTACAGAGTCCCTTGGTCTGGGCTGCAAGGTCCACTCTGGGTCTGGCAAGGACCTGGAAGGTCCATTCTCTGGACTACTCAGGTTCAAGGATGCATCAAGAGTTCCTTGGTCACATTCTTTCAATGAAGGTATATCTTGAGGCTGCTTTGGACAAGAAGCTGAAGCAAAGGACACAGCCATGCTGCTGGGGTTGAAGGTCAAGGTGCTGTTGCTGTTCTGTCGCAGGAATCTGGGGGAGGAGCTGCTGTGCTCTGACTCAGTGGAGGAGTGGCTCCCCACAGAGGCATCAGAGTGGCTATGGCGTGGATTGTAGGGCTTTAGGAAAGAGCTGTACACGAAGCCTTTGGTAACTGCAGAAGGAGATACTGACATCAAGACCTTGTAGCACAAGGGGGAGAAGTAAGAGGCAGAGAATCAACAGAGAAAAACCACAGTTTAAAAGCTAGATCAATGATGCAAGACGAACTGACACTTGTTTGGAAATGGGCATATGAAGAAAACTTAGTAGGACATCCAGACACTGGCTAAGGAGAAACTCAGCCAAGTATATGCTCAAACACACCACATGTGGCTGAGAGTTGAAGACCATCCCTGTGTTGAGGAGCCCCTCAGATAGTCATCCTGCCTCCCCGTCTTCTGTAGTACCACAAGCCTTTGGTTAAGGAGCTGTGGAACACTAAGCATCCTAATGCAGAAAGCTGGTACATGAGTTCCAATATATATGGGACACATACAGCATATGCTCACTGCCTAAGATGATGACATAAAGCCCTTGGTGACAACTCAATTAGGAATTGAGATGGTATCCATAGGACATTTTTTTTATTACATGAAGAGAAATCTGCCCAAGAATAAACCCTGATTATACAGCCTCCATGAGAACAATGGTCATCTCTTGGGAGTTAAATTTAATATTACTTTAGTCTTATTGTATTTATTTTTGCTTCTAGTCCCACGATTTTGCTACAGAAGGAATTCCAGGTCTTTAGAACCGAGGGGCTCGCTCATGTCCTCGGCATGGTGGGCCGAATTTGGACATGACAAGAGCATTAGTGTCATGTTTACAGGAAAAGGTCTCTACCTGTCTCAAAATTATATTGTTTTAATATACACCAATTGTAAATATTTATGGGGGCAGATTTCAATGCATGTATACACTATGTAGAACTGAATCAGGGTAATTAGCATGTCTATCTCATCTTTTTTTTATGTTTGGAACTTTCAACCTCTTCTTGTTCTCATAAAATATATCAGGTCCCTCTACTTTGTTGTAGAAACTAGAATTTATTCCTAACTATATTTAGGTACCTGTTATCCAACCTCATTTTTTCTTGATCTTTGATGCACTTCTGGTACCTGAACAAATGCTGGCTTGCAGGAAGACACTCCCTTGGTATCTGACGAATGGACAGGAGGCCCCTGGGGTCCCACAGAAAAGGGTACAGGGTCTAACAGCTGATTCTAATATTGTGGGCTTCTTGCTACCACTTTACTTCTCAGGACTGAGTAAAAAATCCTGAGGGGATAGTACCTCTTACATAGCTTGGAATTTTACAGTCTATCAGTCTGATCCCATCAGTGACTGACACTCCTGTCAGTCTGTCTCCCTGACAGGCTCTTTCCTTTTCTATTCCAGTCTTTATTATTTAAAATAAGCAGAAGTGAGGAAAGGAGAAAAAGAAAAAAGAAGAAAATATTTTAAAGGAAATTTTTTAAAGTACTAATTTTCAGTTCTATTTTGTGTCTATAGAGATGTTTACTGTATAGTCCCCAAATATGTATCTAAAACACTTAGATCAGATGTGTTTTAGGATTCTTTCTTTCTTTCTTCTTCCTTTTTCTTTTTTTTCCTTCCTTCCTTCCTTCCTTCTTTCCTTCCTTTCCTTTTCTTTCTTTTCTGTTTTATTTAGGGAAGGTAGTAAAGTATACATGTTTTCCAACACCCTTCATCAGGTTCTGGGTCAGCATACCATAATGTAAAATGCATGACTATTCACACCAAAATAAGTGTAAGCTATGATTATAAATGGTGTTGCATCACTTTGTTCAACTTTTTGGTAAAAAGATCTGAAAAAAATTTTCATCAAAGCCTTTTGGATTTTGGAATGGTAGAAAAAAGGATTTAGATTATTATTATTTTTTGTACTTTTCTTTAAATTCTGTAAATCTTACCTATCCTAGAAGCTATAAAGCTGGATTTTAAAGACATTCCCTAAATAATCATGAGGTAAAATAATTTGATACAGGGGGAAAAATAATGCAAACAAAAACTGTAAGTTTTGAAATTTATACACATACAAGACAAGTTTATAGACACTAGAGGGCAAGCTTATTTTGTGGCTTACTCAGAATAGGTTGACAAGAAACAGGATTCCATTAGCAGTATTTACTGCCTGGATAAGCTATAAAGCATGGCAAGATCTTCTGAGATAAGTCATGGAATCTTCTCTGGAATTTGTCAAAACAAAAACACAAGCAAAAAAAAAAAAGAGAAAAGACAAAAAGAAAGAAAACCGCAACCAAGAATGGGCTTTGTTTCCCTAATGATCTGGGCATTACACTCTCTGATGATGGATAGAAATTTTAGGGTTATTTTTCCCTTTAAACAGAGACTCTCATTTTTTTTTCTGGCCTAAACAGGATGCAGATAAAGCCCCAATCTTCACTTTTTCCTCATTTAGAATTACATTCATCTGACAGCTAAAATTCTTACCTCCATTGTCAATCAGCCAGCGGTTCTGACTGCCCATGGGGTCTTTTTTTTTTATCACACCCACCAGGTCACCTTCTAAAAGTGAGACATCCAAGTCCTGAGCAGCATTGAAATTCCTTTCTGCTTGGAAGAGTTTATCAGGGGGATATCGTGCCAGCAGCGAGGCCCGTAGCTCTTCTGATTGCAGCATGTAACTTGGCTGAAAAGTAACACAAAAAGCACCATCGACCAGAACTCTGCCTGGCCATAATCACAGCAGCCTCTTGCTAGGCCACTTGTATTTAATCTTGGCTCAGTCAGAGTCTCAGAAGTGAGGCATTGATAGCTACTCATTGCCCCCTCAGAGGCTTTTGTGAGTTACCCTGTTTGGCTAGGTAAAAATCATGGTAGCGTCAGCTGTGCCTTTATAGCTATAAAGAAATTCAACACATACTTATTTGTAACAAAACTGTGATTAAAATGCTGCCTAAAGAATCAAACTATTGGGACCGGGTTAGGGCATGTGCATGAGGCCCTGGGTTCAATGCCTGGCATCAAAATTTTAAAAAATAAAAATCAAAATATCTAAGTAATATTACTAAGTGTGTGTATGTTGGCGGGGGTATGGGGGAAGACTGGGGATTGAATATAGGTATTCCTACTGAGTTATATCCTCAGCCCTGTATTTTTTATTTCAAAACAAGATCTCACAAAGTTGCCCAGACTAGGCTCAAACTTGCAATTTCGCTGCCTCAGTCTCCCAGAGTGCTGAGAGTACAGGGAGATGTCATGGCACTCAGCTCACTACATCTTCTTATATTTTGCTAGACCAACCTAAACAATTAAGACATTTTCTATCCCGACTTCCCTATTTATAAAAATAAGTCATAAAAATAGGAAAAAGATAATTTTGGCATTTCTTTTTAGGTAATAGAAATGTCTATGGGATTATATGGACCAAAATAAGCAAAGCCATATTAGCAATTTTTTAGATTATTAGCCCATATAATTTGTTGTATCTTACACAAAAGCAGTTAATGATAACCTGGCTCTATTAACTTTTCTAACCCACAATCAAAAATAGGCAGGGCTGAGGATTTAGCTCAATGGTTCCACCACCTGCTTTGCAAAAACAAGATTCCAAGTTCAATCCCCGATACCAAAAAACCCCCCAAAAAACCCAACAAAAATAGGCAGGCCTGTAAGAATTAATATACCCTTAAATCAGTTTCCTTAATTAAGTAATCAATGTATTGCTATTGATACTTTCAAGGATTCAAGAATGATTTCAGAGGACAGCCTGAAGTTCCTAACAAGGTAAGAAAACTATAGGTAGTCATTATCAGGCAACAGTAAGTACATCAGTGATGTTCAGGAAATGCTGAATGCTTAGAGGAGCCTGTGATGGATGAGACCCAAAAACCACTGATGATAATAATACTTACTTGTCTAGTGCTTACTATGTCTCAGGTAATTTATTAGTGCCTCTAAACATTAACCCACTAAAGCTTTGTAATTACTCTATGATGTAGGTAAAATTATCATCTGTGTCTTAAAGATGAGGAACCAAGACCCAGACGTGAAGTAATGTATTCAAAACAAAGTGGTAAGTGTCCATCCTGGGATATGAACCCAGATGGTCCAGCTCTAATTCACACACTCTTAACCCTAGGCCATGCTACCCTTCTCAGTCCCTACTCACCAGCCCCAGGAGGGACTTCCGTGCAGACTGGCGGTCTGTGGTCTTCCTCTCAAAAGGCTTCTTGGTAGCTGGAAGAGACTCGGGAAAGAAAGTGAAGACCTGGAGTTGCTGCAGAACCCTGCTGTGCTCTTCATGGAAGATGGCAATTAGGTTTCCCTCTTTGCCTGTAACTTTGAGTAACTGGAGTCCAGGGAAAGAGCCAACATGGAGGAAAGAAGAAAAAGATGGATGAAAGATCCCTGGGACTGACAAAGTCTCTGTAGAACCAACTGGAAGCTAAAGTTCAACTGCAGTGGCCCTATGCAAGCTACACACACTGCAGTCTATGCAGGAGAAAAGGCACTCTTGGCAACACTCCGACAAGCCACACGGACCGGCTCTTCTGGGAATCATGCAAGATGGGAAGAGACACTTAAAAAGCCCCAGGCTTCTTGCCACCATCAAAGAATCAAGAATTCTTGATGGGACCTAATAATATATTTAATCTCTGTAGTTTGGATAATTTCTTTTTTTTTTTTTTGCACTTTATTAAATTCTTTTATTGGTACATTGTAGGCATACAACACAATTACACTTCTCATTAGGAATTGTACCTTTACATGATGCATCTTGGTTCTTTTTTTTTCCCCATTCCTAGCCTTCCCTTCACCCCCTCCACCCTTCCCTATTTACAAAGACTTTATTTCCATTTTTTCCATTTCTCAGCATTTTTCCTTTCCCTTCTTTCCTTTTCCCTGCCCCTCCCACTACCCCTACCCCTTTGGACCTTTTCTTCCTATTTTGCATTATCGATTATTCATTCTAATCATTGGTACATTTTAGGTATACAGTATAATGACATTCATCATTGGAAATTTGCACCTTTACATAGTCTCTCTTGGTTCTTATTTTTCACCCTTGCCCAGCCCTCCCTTCAACCCCTCCAGTCCTCCCTATTTACAAAGATTTTGTTCCTATTTTTTCATTTTCTCATATTAATCCCATTCCCTTCTATCCTTTCCCCTAGCCCTCCCACTTCCTTCCCCTTTGCCCCTTTTCTTCCTATTTCACATTACCTATTATACATTTAGTCCTTATTTACACTTTCAGTTTCTCACACCAGAGAAACTATTTGGTATTTACACATGTGTGTCCTATTTATTTCACTTAAGAGTATTGCCTCAATGTGCATCCACTTAGCTATAAATGTCTCTAATTTCTCATTTTTTATGGCTGAGCTCCATTTTATTAAAAAACCACATACATTCTCTTTATCCAGTGTCCAGTGGATGGGCATTTGGGCTGTTTCCAAGTTTTAGCTATCACAATGTAGTTTGGATAATTTCTCACACGACCCCACTGAGGGCCTAGAAAAAGACTGGGCCATCTTCAGAAATGACTTTCCACAGAGCAGTAAGTGACTCACCGAAACCAGTGGCTGCAACTGCTCCAATGCCTGCTGCACAAAGTCGCAGTGGGCTTCAGCATAGCCATGGATGCAGTTGGCAAAGAGACCCTGTGCGTACTGCTGAAACTTGGGTAGCTCATCTAGCAGCTGTGCATTCAGGGCCTCGTAGTTGTTCCGGGCTGACTGCAGCTCCTCTAGGGTTTTCTTGTCCTTCAACTTCTCTGCTCGTTCTGTGCAGTTGTAGAAGTCGAGAAGCTTGTCAAAACGTTTCTGCACCAGCTTGTGGGGTCCTGTAAACATGCTCAGTAACTGATTTAAGGGAGAGATGACAAGCCGCTCTGTCCTCTCTTTCTATAGGAATGAGAAAGGCACATTTGATCAGCTGGTCAGCATCTCATCTTTATGAGTCTCCAAAACACTTGTAAGCCTAATTTGGTTGTCCTGTACCAACTGCTTTGCTCCTAGTACGCAAGCTGGCCCCACGCAGAACAACAGATGTACTCTATCAACACCTACAAAACAGCTCTGCATATAGTTCATCTAACCATTCACATACTAAAGCACTTGCAAAATATACTAACCCTTCTTTATCTTATTTAATAAATGCTAAATTGTGCATGGATATTTGTATTAGAAAACAGATGTGATAGACTTGATAACACTTACTTTAGCTTGTTTTTTTGTTTGTTTTTGTGGTGCTCAGAATTGGACCCAGAGCCTTATGCAGCACTCTACTGCTAAGCTACATCCCCATCCCTATACAGCTTGATTTAACTCAGATTCAGCTGTTGCATAAATCTGGAATGGAATAACTTTCACCCACCTATAATACTGTTTCTAATCATTAACTTGGTAAGATTTGTTTTCACTCTTCAAAAAATTTTTCTTTTACTCTTCTTATAAGAACAGATAACCCAGACATGATGGCACATGCCAACAATCCCAGCACTTGGTCAGCTGAGGCAGGAGGATCAAGAGCGTGAGGTCAGCCTGGTCTACACAGTGAGAACCTGTCTCAAAAACCAAAACAACTCAGATATTGAGAGTGGGTTTTGAACACATAATTAAGTACTTAGTAGCATCTTTGTTTTGTTTTTGAGACAGGATATCATTATGTTGTTCAGGCTAGCCTTGAATTCACTATGTAGCCCAGGCTGGCCTTGAACTTACAGTGATTTTCCTTCAGCCTCCTGAGCTTAGTAGCATCTTATTAAAAAGAATTTACTGGGGCAAGGGATTTAGCTCAGTGGTTCTGCCTTGCAAGCACAGAGGCCTGAGTTCGATCCCCGGTACCAATAAAAAAAAAAAAAGAATTTACTGTTTGAATACCTAGAAGTTTCCCTAAGTGTATATATTTGCTATAGCCTTAAACCATGCAGGGATTTCTAAGAAACTATCACATCCCACCTAATTCTATTTGCAATTAAACAATCATATATATAACTATCCAGAAGTTCCCAACCAATTTGTCCTTTAGTACTTTCTATATAAAGTAGTTTTTACTTTATAAAAAGCTACTTGGTAACACTTAAAAAGAGTATTTAGAAAAATATCAGCATTATCAATAGTGATTCGATTAATTTTCTAGTTTTCCCTCCCTAGTTTGTCGTCTGAAACTAAGTTGATTACAAACTATTAAAAAAAAAATCTATCGAATTCAGGCCCTACCTGTCCCTCTATCTGAAAGTTATGTTCTGAATATAATAAACCTTGATATAAACATAATTAAAGGACACATTGTGCTTCTGTTCTCTGTGGAATTAGCTTTGGTGTGAGCTGCCATTAGAGGTGTCCCTGGGAAGGGGCCAAGCTATGAAAGGTGAGCTGCACATGGAATCACTTACGAAATTTGTGAAGAGCTGGTCACTAATGTAACGATGCACCTTCTCAAACTGCTCCAGGTCACGGTGTCCCCTCTCTATGCACAGATCCCACAAGCTTGCAGCAGCCACCACTTTCACACATGCTGATTCCTGAAGCAGATGAGAAACACACAAGTAAGAACACAGATGCTGACTTCATCATTCAACCCATGGAGCACTCTGCAACAAAATGGAAGCAGTCTGCAACAAATTTTTCTCTCAAGTATAATATTTCAGCTTTGAAATAAGAATACTCTTATAAACTGATATACAAGGCAAAGAGAAAGGCTAAGATTTTTAGTTCCAGAAAATCTGGTGAGGGCTTTTATCATTGTTAGCATTTCTCTCTGCCTCCTATAAAACAGGGTTCCTTAATTTACCAAAAAGTAAATCAAATTAAAACCAAGATGATTCCTGAAAAATTATGATGACCAATCACTTTCCTTCTTCCTTTCTCAAGTCTTGGCTCCTGCTATCATCTTCTCAAGGACAACTGCCTCAAGCTCCTTGACAATCTCAGTCCCGCTTCTCCACTCTGACTCTGGTGCCTGTGAGGCCCCTGTCCTGCTCTGCTCCTTTCCAACATTGCAAAAACTACCTTCTAGCACAAGACAACTTGTTGATTCTTGTTTATTGTCCTTGTATACCTTCCCCAACCCTGGTAAACTGTGAGCTCCAGGAGGGCAGAGGTTTGTGTTGTGTCACTGACCCAGTGATTGCTTGGTGAATAAATGAATGACTGAATAGGAAACACCTCCTGGTTGGTTGTGACAGTTCTGAGTCCCGGGCTGGTTTTCTTTGGCTATTTGACACAATGCTCGGCTTTTGGCTTGTTTAAGCATAGGAAATGCCTATTGTATTGGTATCAAATCAAATAAAATTAAATGTACTAAAAACTACATTAGTATATTTCAAGAGTAAATTAAAATCCTTTAGTAAAAAACCATCAGTGTTTCGTACATTTGTTTGGTGTTTTAAAAGATATTTTAGATCTTTTGTCTTAGTGCTTTTTCAGAAGGATAACTAGACTCTGAGTCCTTTTGAGTAGAGAACTAATGTGAAACATGATGACTTACTTTCTTTTAGAGAAATACTGTGACACTCCAAAATATCAGTCCAGATATTTTGATATCAAATTATGTGGTCAGTAAACCTCTATTTTTGTTCTTGCTCTCTCTCAATCCACCTAAAGTTATTATTTGTCAGGGCTTTTCATTTTATGTCAGTGACAAACTTGTTCTATTTTCTCTCAATTTCTACTGTCAGTGGTCAGAACCAAATTGACCAATCCATCAAATGGTTGTCAATGTTACCATTTTAAATCTCACCATCCATGGCTGTGGAGAACAGCCTTCCCAACTGGGGAGTTCAGACATATGTTGGCTATACATTCAGAAAACATGGAGAGAAAGCAATCATTACAAGGGTATCAAAATTAGGGAAAAGTGCTGAGAACAGGACAAGGGAACTTGCTTGGTAGTTGCCCCAGTGTTTTTTTTGGTCAAATTTCTCATTTTAAGCTAATGTGTACCAGAAAAGTTTTGTAAACCCTATCTTCAACCTAATTACATTTTTAAAACATGAAGGGAGGGAGTTTGTTATTTATAAGAAATGTAAAGGGCATTTTAAATCAGTGGGGCTTATTCAATAAATGATAACCAGCTGAAAAAAACAAAGTTGCATGGCTATCTCAAATCTTCTATACTAAATTCCTGCTAAAGAAATGATTGATTTAAACCTAAAGCAATGGAACAATGAAAGAACTAAAGCATGGGAGAATTTTTTATCTTGGATAGAAAAGGCCTTTCCATATATGACACAAAACCAAGAAGTTATAAAAGGAAAGTTTAATTAGAGTGCAAAAAAATTAGACTTTTCTATACAGAGAAAACACTTTAAGCAAACTCAAAGTCAACAAACTTGGAGGAAATATTTGTAAACCGTCATGTCAGATAAAAACTATTTTCTCCAATATACGCTACAAATCATTATGAAAAAGACCAACAAGTCTACAAATAAGTGTGCCAAATCACAGAAAGAGAAACGTAGTAACTTAAACATATAGAAAGTCTCAATTTCATTCACAAGAAATGCAAATTTAAACCATACTGAAATATTTTTTACCTATCTTGTACTGTCTATTAGTAAGGATGTTCTGGTAGGAATTTTCACTTTTCTAACACCTATAACATTTATTTCACAGTATCTATCAAAATTCATGCTGCCATACCATTTGATTCAGAAAATCTAGTACTTGCACAAACATAATAGCTAAATCTTGGAAGCAGCCTATAATCTATCAGCAGATGGAATAAAGATAATGTGGTATTTATAAACAACGGAGTACCACTCTTTTTTTTTTTTTTTGGTACCGGGGATCCATATGAGAAACCCAAAGTATAAATCATTTAAAGAGCAAAATAAAAGGCAGATAATAGGAAACAGGGAGGTAGACCTTCTGTAAACAGGAAGGGGACCAACAGATAGAGGGAGAAAGGGGGAGGTAAAAAAAATTAAGATGTATTATGTACATGTACCAACTCCACATAATGAATGTAATCATTATGTACTGCAAATATGTACTAATTAAGAAGAAAGAGAAAACAAACAACAAGCCAGGCATCTGTAATCCCAATACAGTAGACCCTCGAGTTATGACCGGCCTGATATATGAACAACTTAGGTTATGAGTAGAATTTAGTTTTAACTTTCAATAAACATCTTGAGTTACTACCTGAATGTGGGCCACTTGTGCTTCCAGATGGTCTCAGATACATATTTAACCTTTAAAGAGTTCTGGAAGGAACATTACAACATCTTTTCCTGTGTGGGGTTCAGAAATCTTGAGCCAATGTCTAAGGACACTGAAATATGCCTGCAAACAGGAGAGACTTTGAAGGCTGTGTAGAGGAGCCTGAGTTTTCAATTGACCAACTTGAGTTACTACCAGCCCTTGTGAACGAATTGAGTTTTGTTTTTTTTTTTGGTACCGGGGATCGAGCTCGGGTCCTTGTGCTTGCGCAGCAGGCGGCGAAACCACTGAGCTAAATCCCCGGCCCATGAATTGAGTTTTAAGTCAATGATCCACTGTACTTGGGAGGCTGAGGCAGGAAGATCAGTATGTGTTCGAGGCCAGCCTGGGCTACATAATGAGACCCTATCTCAAAAAAACCCCAAAACAACAACAACAAAAATACCCCCTCAAAATAAAACCTAGTTCCCTAGACATAGTCACATAGATCAGAAACTGATATATTTACAAGGATATTCCTTGACACTTCTTCTAATCTTTTGCAACTATAATTTAAATGCCTCTCAACAAGGGACTAGTTAAATATACGCTGGCACATCCATGTAATTAAATACTATGCAGCTGTAGAGAGACTGAGGAAGCTCTTCCAAAATGTGATTAAGTACAAACCCAAGACACCGCAGTGTCGTTCTTCTCCACCCCTACCCAATGGGCCTGGCTCTGACACGAGACAAGTGGTGACTGGTAAGTGGTGACTGCCTGTGTAGAGGGTGACTGGGAGACACAACAGGAGGAAGAATTATTTTTGCCTTTTACTTGGTACCTTTTAAATTTTCTACCACTTAAAGATTTTTAAAAAGTGAAGGATTTCTTATAAGAGCAGATTTTCACATGTGAGGGATGGAGATATACACTTAGAATGTATATATACTTCATTCTATTAAATTAGGAGAAAACCTAGAGGTAAGAATAGAAAGGTCTCTAGTTCTGGTTCTTATTGTCTGAGGCCCATCAGATCCCCTTAGCTTCTCCAGCTCCCTGAAGCTACTTACAGTTCTAACTTTAGGGGCCTGATGTGTAACAACTTCATGAGTTAGAAGTTACAGTGATTAGGACACCCCCACAGGAATCTTTCTTACTCTTGTCTATGGCTTGTCTTTTCTCTAGTCTATTTTTTGCTCTACAGCCTTGCTCTCCCTATATTCACCATTTGTCTTCAAAATGATATTGGCAAAACGAACAGTGACAAGTACTTCTTAAATAACTGGGTATAAGGACAGGAATGTGGGTGTGGGGGAGTGATAAAAACAGAAAGAAAAAAAGAACTGGGCCACTTTAAAATTAATACAAGAGTGCCGATCTTCTAAATGTTGGTTAACTTTCAAGTACCCTATAGAAATCTCAATAAAAAGTACATATGTCTATATCATATCTTCATCGCTTTCTGTCTTAGTTACTTTTCTTATTGCTGAGATAAAATATGTGACAGTCAAAGTTAAAGGAGGAAAGGTTTATTTTGGCTCACAGTTTGTAGAGGTTTCAGTTTATAGTTGGCTGGCTCCAAGGCAGGGTGGCATGGCAGAGGAGAAACAGTCCATGGCAAGCAGAAGGCAGGAAAGCAGCAAAGCAGCAAAATAGCGTGGGAGTAGTAGCAGCCTGGCTCTCCCTTTTCTCCCTTCCAGGCTCCCCGCCCTATGGTGGTGCCACCCACACTCAGGCGGGGCCTTCCCATTATGCACATCCAGAACTATGCCAAACCAATCAGTGGACTAATTTAGGAATCACACACCCTTAATCCCAGCATCACACACTCTAGATCGAGCCACCTCTGAAAAGCCACACCTATGACCACATGAGGCTTTGGAGGGATATCTAGACATAAGCCATAACATTTTCCAGTTCCTCAAAATGAATGTAACTATTATGTATTGCAAATACACTAATTAAAAGAAAAAAAAGTGCATCATGGTAAAATGATCACTTGAATCCAGATTACTTAACTTTCACTAAACAATATGCTAGGTGAACAGGAAAGTGGACAGAATTTTCTAACTAGAATGATGTTGACACTCACCCGGATATGCTGGAGGTAAAGCGACAGGTCTCGGATAAAAGATTTAATCAATCTTTCTTGCATCCGGAAGGTCTTTTCTGTTTCTTCAAATACCTCATCCTTTATCTGTTCAAAATAAACAAATGCTGTAAGCAAATTTGGACTCTTCCTTCCATCTATCTTATTGGCAAAATTATCCTTATCAGAAACATCTTCCATTTGAATGTTAAACTTTTAATATTTCCCTGAATCATACTGAATTTAGACACTTCTCTGTGGCTTTGAAAGACCTCCAAAACACATAGCCTTCCTTCTTCCAAATCATCTTCCCCTCAGCTGCCGACATAAATCCTGCCTCTGGTCAGGCTTCCCTCCTCATTTCTGGTACTGCCACATCTGCTGACCAGGGCTTTCCCTCCCTCTGGCAAGCCTGTCCCATATCCCTTTAAGGCTCAGATGAACTCTGAGGCCAACAAGAAGCTCGTTCTAACTGAATTCCTCTTTTTCTAACTACTACAGCATTCAGAAACAGGTGTAAAACTAAACAACTGAGTATTTTCTGGCTTGTATGTTCCACTAATCACTATCACGGCTAACATGACATATAGCAGAATGAAGTCTGGAGACCAGGCCTGCTTTCAGCACTGTTGCTAAAATGCTTTTCAAGTCACTCATCTTTGCTCCTTTCTGTTTCCTTATTTGTGACACAAGTACTCTTACCTAAGGTACCTTTAGGTGATCTATTAAATACCATCTAGTTTAATATTATAATTTTAGATTTTTCTCCCCAAATAGATTATAAAGTCCTTAGGGGTATTGAATATCATAATGATTATTAGATTTCAATTAACCTGGACTAATTTGCTTTTGTATATATCATAAGCAGCTCAGCAAGGCACTAATGTAGGGTTGGGTGGGTGGATTCACATAATCAGTAGCTATAGGCCCTGTTTCCACCAGCAGGCATGAGCAGAGGAGGCGTTGAGAAGGGAAACTTGCCAGTCAGCACCAGGCAGCTGCTCTATGCAGCCCTGCAAAGCCATCAAGCTCAGGGATCTCACCTGAGGAGCAAAGCCAGTGAGGTGCTTCAGGTGACTGCTCACTCGGTTGGATTTCTTGATGATGGAGTGGATGTTCAGTTTGGAAATTTTCTCCATAAGGCTATCCTCATCACCCTTACGGTACTTGAGCACTAGGGAGGAGGTCAAAATGGTCAGTCTTCCCTGAGGCTGAATTATATGAGCTAACAACCTGAAAATATAAATACTTTTCCAAAAATGGATATAAAATTAGATTAACAACCCAAACTAGAACTAGTGCTTCTCTTTAATGAGCTTATAATTGAGTACACAAAATATTAATCCAAATAATCATTTATGAACAGGTACACCACCTGAAGAAAACAGAGACTGGGCCAGGAGAAGATTAAAGTTGAGGAGGAAAGGTGGCAGAGGTGGAGGGAATGAATCAATGACCGGGAGTCAGAAAAATCCTGGACCAATACCTGGGTCTGTCATGTCACTGAGGTATGGCCATGAATGGGTCATTTTACTTCTTTAAGCCTCATGTTTTTCTTCAATAAAATATAGAAAGTAATACTTTCAAGCCCCATAAGACACATAAATAAATGATTCTTGTATATAAATTACTAGATCTTTATATCCATTGATGTTACACAGTAAAATGTTATACATTAATCATTTAATTAACTACTATATCATATTTTAAGCACAAACTGCAGCAAAGTCTACAGATAATAGCAGAAGGGAGAAGAGGGAAGACTGGGTAACAACACAGTTGTTGTAGAAAGGATGAAGATAATATGGTATCAGGAGACAGAACCAAGAGAAAGGGCTCAACGGCAGAGACCTCAGAAAGCTACAATCATCATTACATATGAATGCGGGTGACATGACTGAAGTAGAAAGCAGAAAGAATTATTTTATCTTTTTGCAGTTCTGAGTATTGAACAGAGGACCTTCCCAGTGAGCCATATCCCCTGCCCTTTTTTAATTTTGAGACAGGGTCTTGTTAAGTGACTAATATGCATGACTGGGTTTGAACTTGTAATCCTCCTGCCTCAGCCTCCCAGAGTGCTGGGATTAAAGGCATGCACCACACCATGCCTGGCAAGGGAAAGATTCTTACTGCTACACTGCAAATTGCTTTATCACTGATGCCTTATTTCCAATATCCCAGAGTGCGTAATTTTATTATTATTACCACCCTTTTCTTCCATATCACATTTGCCCAAAATTTTACTACAATTTTTTCATCACAGACCTATTACACCTACCACCTGCTCTGTCACTTTTTGGTGAAGTAATTCTTTTGAGCAGGAAAGCATTCTCACAGGGAATACCTCCTTTTCGCAATTATGCTTTGTTTACCCAGATCCTTTCGACGTTTATATTCATTAATGTGAACGTTGATTTCCTTGACAGCAAGGACTGCATTGGTTAAAGGCACTTTATCTGGATGGAGTTCGGGGGTGGAATTCAGCAACTCCATTAGTAGCAGTGGGTAACGCATTACTCTCTGTACAGGTTTGATGAGAAAGGAGCCCAGGTTAATATAATTGGTGCAACCCCTGTAAGAAAAGGCAAAAAAGACTTTAGTCAGTTGTTAATAGTGAAGGTCTCAGGATACTACTTGTTATTTCTAAATTTAGCTATACTCTTTTACACTTTCATTTATCCAACAAATATAGTCATGCATCACTTAATGACAGGACCATGTTCTGAGAAATGCACTATTACTAGGTGATTTTATTGTTGTGTGAACATTGTAGAGCATAACAACAGATTAAGATGTCTACAATGTCCCAGGTGATATAATCTCAGGGGACCACCATTATATAAATGGTCCATCACCGACCAAAAACTTGTCATGTGTTTCATGACTATTTACTGGGCCTGACACATACCAGTTACTGTTCTAGGTGCTGGGGATTTAATGATGACCAAAAGTAGTCCCTGCCCTGATGGGAGAAGATGGCAATAAATGAATATACAAAGTGTCATTTGGTGGTAAGTGGTATGAAAAAAAAAACATAATCAGGTAAGTTTATTCTAGGTTTCTATCTATAATGTAAGAAAATAAAATTGGCTTTTTAAAGATTAGGAAAAATTCACTGAATAAATGAGCTCATACATCAAGTAGCCAGGGGACTTACCATTCATTGTATAGGCTCCTACAAGGCAGGGAACATGAGGGAATAAAACAGACAACATATTAGAAGAATGATATTAATGTTCTCATTGTCAGAATATACCTATTGGGCAGACAACAATTAACTGGGTAAAGAAACTTATGAATGTCTATGGTGACGCATATCATCTACTAAAAAGTAAGTAAGCACCTAACTTCACTTAAATCTACTTATCCATCCACATATTACATCTTTATAATTTGTTTCTTCAAGATCAGGAGAATCTCACCTGATGGTCAGGAAAAATTATACTGTCATTCTTCTCACCTATGCAATTATTTGGACCAGACTATCTTCATGGCTGCTTAACTAAAAAATCCTAACTTAATATTTCCTTTCTATAGATACAAATGATTTAAATTGACAAAAAATATAAACAGAAAGCTTCTTAAGATTTCCATAATATAAAATGGGAACAGGGAAAGTTATGTGACAGGATGAATAATAATAAATTAATTATGTTTAAAATAATACAACAGATGGCATTAGAAGTCTAGATGTAAACATGAGGTATTTCTAAAAGGCAGACTAAAGAGCTCTGATTAAATGAAGTGGTCAAAACTCCTACTTCAAGTCTGCCAAGGAGTCTTGAAGATGCTTCTGGATCTTTTCATCCTTCTCATAGATTTCCAGCAGTGAAATGGCCTCATCGTGATTCTGGCAGTAAATCTTGTATGTTCCCTCAAGGTCATCCCGGTGATCAAGAAACACAGGTCCTTTGGAATGGACACAAACATACAGTGTTATCAGTAACTTTCTTCTCAGTATCCTAAATCAAAGTACATGGTCAAACTTTAATATCAGTTAAATGTTATTACAAGAAACAATAAGGCTATTCATCAAATCAATAAATTTTCATGTAACAGCTTAAAGTTAAATAAGTTCAGGTAGAATATAGAGAACAATGTCATCCATGTGTTCATTTCTCAAAACACACACACCCATCCCTGCTCCCTAAAACAGAGCCTCCAGCCCTGCTCATATAGTCAGTGAAAGGCATTTGCAAGACCCTCCATGTAGATATGAGATCAGAACCAGAAGGGCCCCCTTGCTCTCTATTCTCCAGAAAAATTTGCCCAGGGATGAAGAAATCCTTCTACAGCATGGTTTCTTTTTCTTTTTGCATAAATTAAAAACACAGGACTATAAATCTAATTTATTATACTGTACTAAGATATGTGTTAATGCAAAATAGCCTCAATCTGTGATATAATTACACATGTAATTTTTTAAAGTATTAACAAAATTTAACAATGAGCCTGATTATCACCATATTTTCACAGTATAAGTGATATGAGACTGATAATATTGCTTCTAGTTGAGCATTACTGAAATTTACCTGCAATGACCTAATGTAATATGAACATGTGACTTTAGTTGTGATGAAGTCATAGGTACAAGTAATATTTTGTGGTTTATTCTCTATATTTGTACTTTATTTATTTATTTCTTTTGTTAAATTCTTTTATTGGTACATTTTAGGTATACAACACAATTACATTTCTCATTGGGAATTGTACCTTTACATAATGCATCTTGGTTCTTATTTTTTCCCCATTCCTAGCCCTCCCTTTACCCCCTCCACCCTTCCCTATTTACAAACACTTTATTTCCATTTTTTCCATTTCTCATCATTTTTCCTTTCCCTTCTTTCCTTTCCCCTGCCCCTCCCACTACCCCTACCCCTTTGGACCTTTTCTTCCTATTTTACATTATTGATTATTCATTCTAATCATTGGTACATTTTAGGTATACAATATAATGACAGTCAACATTGGAAATTTGCACCTTTACATAGTCTCTCTTGGTTCTTATTTTTCACCCTTGCCCAGCCCTCCCTTCAACCCCTCCAGTCCTCCCTATTTACAAAGATTTTGTTCCTAGTTTTCCATTTTCTCATATTAATCCCATTCCCTTCTATCCTTTCCCCTAGCCCTCCCACTTCCTTCCCCTTTGTCCCTTTTCTTCCTATTTCACATGACCTATTATACATTTAGTCCTTATTTACACTTTCAGTTTCTCACATCAGAGAAACTATTTGGTATTTATACATGTGTGTCCTATTTATTTCACTTAAGAGTATTGCCTCAATGTGCATCCACTTAGCTATAAATGTCTCTAATTTCTCAGTTTTTATGGCTGAGTAGTACTCCATTTTATAAAAAAAACACATTTTCTTTATCCAGTGTCCAGTTGATGGGCATTTGGGCTGTTTCCAAGTTTTAGCTATTACAAACTGTGCTGCTATGAACATGGGCACACATATATCACTGTGGTATAACTCTTTTAATTCTTTGGGGAAGATCCCCAGCAGGGGAATAGCAAGGTCAAATGGGACTTCCAGTCCTAGTTCTTTGAGGTATCTCCATACTGATTTCCACAGTGGTTGCACCAGTCTACACTCCCACCAGCAGTGGAACAGGGTTCCTCTTTCCCAACAGCCCCGCCAGCATTTGTTATTGGTGGATTTCATAATAGCAGCCATTCTTTCTGGAGTGAAGTGGAATCTCAGCCTTGCTTTCATTTGCATCTCTTGAATGACCAGTGATGCTGAACATTTTTTCATGTATTTATTTGCTATTTCTACTTCTTTGTCTGAGAAATGTCTGTTCATTTCAGATGCCCATTTTCGGATTGGGTCTTTAAATTTGGGAGGTCTGATCTTTTTAAGTTCTTTATAAATTCGAGATAGTAGACCTTTGTCTGAGGAAGAACAGGCGAAGATTTTTTCCCACATTGTGGGTGGTCTCTTCACACTGCTGGCGGTTTCCCTTGCTGTGCAGAAGCCTTTTAATAAGAAGAGATCCCACTTGCTGATTATTTGTGCTAGTTCACGGGCAACTGAGGTTTTGTTCATAAAATCTTTTCCTACACCAATGTCTTCAAGAGTTCTACCTAACCTCTGTTCCAACTGGTTCAGAGTTTCTATTTTAATATTTAGATCTTTAATCCATTTTGATTTTAGTTTAGTGCATGGTGAGAGATATAGGTCTAGTTTTAATCTTTGGCAAGTTGAAGCCCAATTTTTCCAGCACCATTTATTAAAGAGGCTATCTTTCCTCCAGTGAGGGTGTTTGGCTCCTTTATCAAAGATGAGATGGCTGAGTGTGTCTGGCGTTGTTTCTGCATCTTCTAATCTGTTCCACTGGTCCTCAGGTCTGTTTCTTTGCCAGTCCCACGCTGTTTTTATCACAGTAGCTCTGTAGTATAGTTGCAGGTTGGGGACTGTGATACCCCGCCATGTCTCTGTTACCTAGAATTGCTTTTGCTATTCTGGGTCTCTTCTTGTTCCAAATAAATTTTTGGATTGTTTTCTCAAGGTCCATGAAGTATGCTGCTGGGATCTCAATTGGAATTGCATTATATATTTGTACTTTAAATAAATGTTAAATTTCAGTTAGAAATTAGGAAAAAGTAAAAATGTGATCTTTTTTTTTTCCCTCTCCAAGTTCGTAGACTCCACGAAATGTACTCACAGACCCATAGTCTTTAGCCTGTTAGGCACCCAGCACTGGTTCCTAAGCAAACTTCTAAAGAACAATTTCTCTTAGACTTGCTGCCTGAATGTGCTTGTTTCCCGACTTACTAACATTATTTTTCTTCTTGCCCTTTGTCCTTTTGGTCCTTCCATCTTTAGCTTGCAGTGGTCCACAAAAAAAAAAAAAACAACTTCTCATCCTTACTCTCCTTCTTGAAACATAATCCTATCTTACTGTTTCACCTGTAAATATTCTTTTCTGATTTTCTGGACATAACCCTCCCTCAGGGACTCCAACCCTTCCTCTGTGTCACTTCTGTTCTTACATTGTGTCCTCAAGAATTCCTCATTCTTGCACAGATCAGTTTCTATGTAAGTCAAATTTATTTCCTCAATTATAGCTCCTTTCTGTAAAGGGAACTTGATGTGTTTTCATAAGCCTTATCTTCTGCTGCCCTGTCTCACTGAAGTCCCATTTCTTTGTCTACTCCAAAACTCAAATAGTCACTGTGGGGCTGCTTCCTTTTTGATCTTCTGGGCTAATTTGGATTTCTGAGCCACCAGTGTCTTTACTTTTACAAACCCGTATTTCCCTGCTTTTTTCTCTTACATGCTTCCTTTCTATCCCATTCCCTACCAGCATTCTTAGAATCTTCACTATTCAAACCAACTACCATTCACACTCCTCAATTTGCTGTTCTTCAATGTTACTACAAACCAGCATAGCTACACCTTAACGGCCAGTATCTTTCAAACTGTGGGCACAACCTAAAAGTGGGTCATGATATCGACTTCATGAGTCATACTCAGCACTATTTCAATGAAATAGAAAAGATCAGAAAGCACTGAATTTAGTAAAATTAAGCACAGACATATACACAAACACCTATCCTGGGCCATTATATAAAATGTATTGGTTTCTATAGATTATGTTTAAAATAACCTAAAGTCCAGTTCTGGATCACATAAACTGCTCAGAGGATACACTGTTGAGAGGACAATTTGAACTGTGTGCTGTATGTGTGTGGTTAAAAAAGAAATTGGATGAAGAGCTGGGGATGTAACTTAGTAGTAGAGCACTTGCCTAACATGTGAAAGGCCCTATGTTTAATTTCCAGCACCACAAAACCAAAACAAAACAAAAGCAAACAGGAGGGAGGGGGAAATGAGGAACCAGGGTAGAGAAAATATGTGTACTTGTTAGTATATAACATACTATCTCAGGAGAAGACTCAAGGACACTAGTAATATTGGTTGCTTCTGCTTGAGAATAGCTAGGTGGCTAGGGACACAGAATAAATAACTTTTCATTAAATGATTTTTTTTGTACCTTTCTAATTTTGTGCTATGTAAATGTATTAACACAAATTAAATTAAAAATATATTGAAGTGAATTCAAACTTTAAAAAATGCTTATGTAATTCATGTCAATCTGTCCTTTGTGTGTGGCTTCACAAGGCTTTTAATTTGCCTTGCTTGGCCTTCTCAGGCCCTGCAGTATGTATACTTAGGTGCCTTCCTTCAAGCACATCACTGTCCAACCTGCTGCCCTCTTGGTAAGGCTGAGCTTCTGGACTGAGTTCTGAACCTTTAGGTTCTCTCCACCACTTTTTCTGCATGTTCTGTCAATACATCTCAGCCCGTTCCCTAACTCGTTTGACTTCAAACAAAAATTGAAAAGAACAAAAAAACAAACATAAGTTATATTTTAGGAAGGTGAGGTTATATGGATATTTGTTTTAATGTCCAATTTTATTGTTGTCATATGTACAGGTAAATACTCTCTAAAGGACACACTGCAACTATAAGACTAAGGGTGGCCACCAGGCCCACTTGAAAATTCACAGGGCTGATGCTCTATGTCCCCTAGTGATATGATGCACACCCTGTCTTGTTTTTAGGAGACAATACCATGACAGCACAGACACATTTCTCACAAACTTGAAAACGAAGCCCATCCTGACGAAATAGCTTAAACTCTCTTTATGAAGGAAACGCCTGCCACCTGACCTGGAGTAAATACAGGTATGAGAAAGAGGAATAATTTTCCACATTCTGAGATAATGTCTGGACAGGCACCATCTTGGCCAGGAGGTCATCCGACCTCTGGACAATAGTTTAGGACTCCTGGAATGCATGATTGGAGTGTACAACAGAATTTGCAGGCCAAGTCAGCAGAATTAAGATCAAGTTACTGTCAGAGATGTTTGCTTTGGTTGGTGTGTTCCCTCCACCCTCGGATAAGCTTCCTGCCTGTTTAAACTAGGTTAACATACATGACATAGCAGGTCATCCCTTCCCATCTCTGTCCCATGACCAAAATTTATGTACAAGTGTTGCAAATGTTTTTTCTTCTACATCTTTTTCTCATGTCCTTGAGTTACAAATAAATAACCAAAGAGGTTTCTGCTCAATGCTGTTTTCCTGAGACTTTCAAATCAGCCCCTCTGGGTCCTCTCAGTAACGAACTTAGTCTCATCTCTGAGTAATCTTTCATTCTCTATGCCACCATGGTCACACATTGCAACAGTAGTCAGGTAAATGTCTAAGCTAATATCATGACCTCATTTCTCTTTCTAGCAATCAGTGTAGGTACATGCATGGGAACCCAGCTGTAGAGAAGGAGAAAGAAAAACTGGATGCGGGAACCCTGAGAAATGTTTGCAAACTCCAAATGATACAAGGGTTACTTTCTTCTGCTGGATGTTGTGTGTAGTGGAATGGTTGCACTTGTGGTGGCCTCTTATAACTATGATTCTAGTAAAATAACAAAATAATAGGATGTTCCCACCCACAATGTACCAAGAGAATACACTGGAAGTGATGGTGTGTCACTTCCAAAATCATGTTGTAAAAGACATTGCAGCTTCTGTCCCAGGTTTTCTCCAGCTCTTGGCTCACTCTGGGTAGCTCACGATTCACTCACGTCCACAAAGAAATTCACATGGCAAGAAACCTAGCCTGAAGAGCTGAGTAAGCTTTCTTGGAAGTGAATCCTTAAGCCCCAGGAGATGGCAGGGCAACAGCCCAGCTCAACCTCAACAAAACAACCTCGGTCAGAACCACTCACTAGCCACTTTCAGATTCCTGACCCACAGAGCCTGAGATTTACATGTTTATTGTTTTAAGCTAAGCTTCTTTGTGATCTGTTGCACAGCAATAGATGACTAATAAGTTCCCTTGTTTTTTTTTTTTGGTACAAGGGATCGAACTTGGGTCCTTGCGCTTGCGCAGCAGTCGGCGAAACCACTGAGCTAAATCCCCAGCCTAAACTCCCTTGTTTTTAAGAACTAGATGAATGTTCTTCAAACATTTTAGATAATGATCCACATACATACATTTTAAAACATGACTTATAATATTTTATATATATATATATATATATATATGGAATGGGAATAGTTTTTTAAAAGTAATTTTTATTTGCAGTACATTCCAATACTTTCTACTGTATTTTACTAAAAATATATATACTGGGTGTGACCCTCTAATTAGTCTCATGATCCATTAATGCACTGCAACCATCAGTCTGAAAAAGATCATACTGTATGACATCTAAAATTTCTAGTGCTAACATACTTTATATCTAAAAGCAGGCTGAGATAAGAGGAGAAGAAGGGGTCAAATAACCTCTGAAATAATAATCCTGAACTAACTTCAAGATCAGAAAGGCCCCTTCTTCCACCCCACCTAGCATTCAGACAATGAGAGCTCATACCTACAGCATCGCTGATTTCCAGGGCAGCTAATAATTGCTTCGAGACTTTAATCACCATCTGCATATTTCCAAAAAGTCCCTCAAAATCAATGTTTGGTACCTGAGAAAAAGAAACAAAGCATAAAAATGCATGTAAATACGTAGTTAATGGACATACCACTGGTATTTGGAACATTTCTTCAAGGATCATATAAAAATGACTCAGTCAATTTTTTAAAAATTTATTTTCACAAAATTTTTTCAGTAGAAACATCCAACACTATCGTTAATGTCACCCCTTGTCCTTGACACAACTATGTTATCATTTGGATTGGGCCATTTATCAAAGGCCCAAGGGTTAAGGCTCAACAGCCTATGGCACTATTGGGTAGTGGTGGAACCTTTGAGAAGTTGGGTTTACTGGAAGGAAGTGAGGTCACTGAAGGTGTGCCCCTGAAGGGGATATTGGGATCTTGATCTCTTCGTCTCATTCTCTTTGCTTCCCAAGAACCATGTGGTGATTAATTTGGCTCTACCATGCTCTTCGTGCCATGATGTTCTGCCTTGCCACAGCCCAAAAGCAATAGGCCCAGCTAACCGTGGACTGAAACCTTTGAAGCCAGGAGCCAAAATAATCTTTTCTCCTTTTAAGTTTTATTGTTTCAAGCATTTTGTCATAGCAAAGGAAAGCTGACTAACAAAATATTTTTTGCTCCTTCCTCCACCACCACTTTAATAAAATTTCTATGAAACCAATATCGTTTGTAATTATAGAAATGCAACAGCATTCACAATCTTTATTTCAAACCCAGTAATTCTCTGGGGTAAAAGCTCCCACATCCTAATGCTTCAGGTCTGAGGGACTACATTTGTGATCATGCTGTCTCTCATAGTTCCCACCTGTGCCTGCTGTAGGGGCACCATGACCCGCTCAATACACATCTCTAGATCCCGGATGTAGTCTCTTTCTGTCTGAAGAAGTTCTTCTACTACCTTGGTTCTCTTCTCTAGCATCCTCTGCTCTGGGTTTTCAGTGGACACAGACCCAGAAGGAGCCACCAGGGATGAAGACTGTGAGGAGAGGGGTGTTATTTCTAGAAAAAAAAAGAGAACTGGTTAGCAGCTCTGGGTATGAAAGCAGGACTCTTTAATAGCTTGAGCCAAAAAACATTCCTTGAGAACCAAATGTCTCCCAATTGTCAACCATCAGAAAACAAACAGAAGTGAAGCTTAGCAAGTCATCCCTGCAGAGAGACTTCTCCTATCTGTACAATACCATTTTGAGAGTCTATCCTAAAAAGGAACCGGCTTGCCAACATGGTGTTACACACCTGTAATCCCAGCATTCTGGGAGGCTGAAGCAGGTTCAAGCCCAGAATGGGCAATTTAGCAACTGAGACCCTGTCTCAAAATAAAAGATTAAAAAAAGGCTAGGGATGTGTCTCAGTTTGAAGGCCCTGGGTTCAATTTATAGTTGCCCACCCCTCAACACATACAAAGGAGCTGGCTTTTTTTTTTAGACATGGTCTCACTTTGTAGAGCAGGCTGGTCTTGAACTCAGTAAGTAGCCCAGGCTGGCCTCAAACCTACACCCATCCTCCTGCCTCAGCCTGGCCAGTGTTGAGATTATAGGTGTGTGCCACCATACCTGGCCTGAGCTGGCTCATTTTAAGAGAATGAATCAGTACTGTATCTACAAGCTCTTTGCACAAGGGCTTAAAAGGAGTAGGACTTTATCAAGAATTGTTTTCATGGGCCGGGGATTTAGCTGAGTGGGTCCCTTGCCTGCCTCGAAACAGCAAGGAGTTCGATCCCCAGTACCAAAAACAAAAAACAAAAACGAATTGTTTTCATTTGGCAACCAGACAGGCATGGTGGGGTGTGCCTTCAATCCCAGCACTTGGGAGGCTGAGGCAAGAGGATTGCTGCAAGTTCAAGGCCAGCCTGAACTACATAGTGTGACTGTCTCAAAAAAAAAAAAAAAATCAGAAAGAAAAAAAAAGATTTTTTTTTCACTTAACCAGATATAAACTGTTCCCCATCAGCAGCAGAATACAAAGCTAGAAAATAAAAAAAATTGACAGCACATTAAAAAGAATACATGCATTACGGGGACACATAATATTGCTAACTTGCTAAGGGAAGACAAGAATTAGGAATCATTCATCTGAGCTGAGTGATGGTAGGTCCTATGATTTTCCAGTCACTATGATGGTTACATATATAAAAACTGATTAGTCTCCCTATCAAAACACTAATCAAGACTCACAGCAGATCTTGTTACTTCATATGTCCTATGAGACAGATACAAAATGCTATAAATTTGAAGTTCTTTGATTAAAAGAAACCCTGCAGAGCTAGACCGTATAGTTCTAAAAACAAATACAAATATATACCTTGTCATTAGATCTTACAATTATCTGTTACATGTTCAGGATGAGAGAATTATTTATGAAGATGGAACAGCATGTGCTCCACTAAAAGGAAGCAGAGTTCTTTGGAAAAATGGCTGGTCTTAGGGCTTAGGCAGGGAAGATTATAGGTCAGCCTGAAACATCGGGTGGAAGAAAGCAAGGAAATGCTCATGAGCATGATGGGGGTGAGATACCACTGATCTGAGATTGGGCACAACTTGAGTATCAAAGCAAGTACAAATAAACACAGCAAGGGATTATAATTCACTGAATAAAATAAGAATCCATATAAGTTCCTACTCATAATACATAAATTAATAAACAAATGGGTGGAAAAAGGCTCTGTCTTATGACAGAATGTCAACTTGAATAGTAGAAGAAAATAATGGAGTTAGAAAATAACCATTTTGCAAATAGAATAAAATTTGGTTCACGTACAAATCATCAGTTGATGGTTCCTGTGTTATTGGTGGGGCTGAGTGGTGATTAGGGTATGTATAGTTTTGAATTACAAAAAAAATAGTGACTATGAATATACTATAGAAATGGATGACACCATGACCCCAGTAATCAACACCACTGCTAAGGGACAAACATCATGTGCCTCCAAATGTCATGTCTGAAAACAACAACACAGTCTCCCTTACACAGTATACCAGTCACAAATGTGTAATTTAAAACTTAGTCTTGTTTTTGTGGGTGTTTTGTTTCATTTTGGTTCCAGGGATCGAACTCGGGTCCTTGCGCTTGCGCAGCAGGCAGCAGGCAACGAAACCACTGAGCTAAATCCCCGGCCTTTGTTTTGTTTATTTGCGACAGGGTCTTGCTGTCTAGTTCAGGCTGGTCTTGAACTCACTATGTACTCCAGGCTGGCCTTGAACTCAGAGAGATTCTCCTGCCCCAGCCTCCTGAGTACACGAACTTCAGACAAGGACTACTACACTGGGCTTAAAATGAATCTTGAGGAAACATCAAACTCAAATTGAGGATTTATATTCTTGAAAATGTCAATTTCATAAAATACACAAAACATACACCCTGAATAGTTCATAGTTAAATATAACTAAAGCAATAATAAATATATACTGTCAACTGTCCTAGACCCCAATTTGGAGGAAAGGACTGCTACAAAAGACACAACTAGAGCAAGTGATAAAACTAGAATAAAGGCCAGAGATTAGATAAATGATTAAATCAATTTTGGATTTCCTGAAATGGCAACTCTATTGATGATGGTCAAGTAAGAGCATATCCATGTTTATGCAAAATACACATTGATGAGCTGATAAAGCAGTTGTCTAGCACATGCAAGGGCCTGGGTTTGATCCCCAGTATCACAAAATATAAACTGGAGCATGCAAGGTACTCTCAGATAACGGAGAGGGACAAAACAAAACAACAACAAAAGCCCCTAAGCCAAAACTAGAAAGAATGAAAACAAAACCATGGCAAATGCCGGTAAGTTAAAGGGTATACAGGAGGTTATCTGTACTTAAATTTGGTGTTCTTCAAAACAAAGTTTAAAGAGGCCTAATGGAAAAATTTATCTTTCTTGAAATGTTTTTTGGTAGAACACATGGCAAAACTTCATGCATAACTGTCATTTCAATACAGTGCTAAATTCAATTTATTTATTGGTGTTCCAGTGGTGGAACCCAGGGCCTCTCCCATGAGCAATAGGTTCTTAGTCCCAAATATGGTCTCATTAGTGTCAAGTTGAGAAAAGAAACTCATTTTTAATACAAGACTAGAAAACTCTGGAAAAGAACATTTACTGAATTCCTACCACATGTGAGGTATTTAGGATTATATCTCTAAACTCATTTAATATTCACACCAGAAGTTTAAAGCAGCTATTATTACTCCCATTTAATGTTAGAAAAGGCAGGCTTGAAGAGGCAGACCAACTTGTCTGACATTATACAGCAAATAATGGTAATTCTGGAATTACAACCTAAATATATTTAAATCCAAATCCTATGTACTTAATCCTACATCATTTTGCTTCCGTAGCCTAGAATTTCAACTAGAAAAGGCAGGGATTTATTGCTTCAATCCTTAAAGATTCCCTGGAAAATATTTCCTCACAAAAATAAAAAAGTTCTATTAACTACAGTTGTCTTAGTTACTTTTCTCTTGTTGCTGAGACAAAATACCTGACACCCAAAGTTAAAGGGGGAAAGGTTTATTTGGCTTACAGTTCTCAGATGTTTCAGTCCATAATCAGCTGGTTCCATGGGAGGGTGGCAGAGGGACAACAGTTTAATGGCAGACAGATAATAGCAAAGCAACAAGAGAATTTAACAGTGTTCTTTCGGCCCCTTTTATCTTATTCAGGCTACCTAGGGCCGATAGCAGTCACACTAATCCTAGTGCCCTTGGGTATAGCATTGCACTATGAACCAATTCCAGTGTCACACACTCTAGATCCAGCCATCTCCCCCACCTATGACCACAGGAGGCTCTGGGGTGACATCTAGACACAAGCCATAACAACAGTAGTTGAAAACACAAAATACTAGCAAACACTTATCAATTAGAAGCCAATAGTCTTTATGAAGAAACAAAAATTTTTATATTACAAGCAAGAAAAATAACAATTCTCCCACAACTGCCAACATGTCTTTTTTTACAGACGGGATTTATAACCTCTTGAACAGCCTTTAAAATCTTTAAAACACAAACCCAAAACCCCTGTGGGATATTTTTCTTGGGAATCTGATTCTTCAAATCAGATCCTATTTGATGAACCTGGGTATCTGCAGTTTTAACAAAACCCTAGTGCTTCTGTAAAGACCTGGCTTTCAGACTCCACAAACATAACACTCAAAGCGAGTTTTCAAGTACAGTATTAAGTCAAATAAAAAATATCTGGCTGTGATGTACAACTGTTTTTCTTTTGTTTCACATACATGCTAAGAAAATAGTCTGATCTATTAGTAGGCTGGGGATGTAACACAGTTGCCTAGCATGCATGAGCGTCTGGGTTCCATGCCCAACACTTCAAATAAATATTCAAGTAAATAAAATTTTAGGATGTGGGACAACCAAGTGAGAGAAAGTGGCCTTTACCCTCAGCAAGCTACGATGGGAACAGGTTTTGAATCTTGCACTTCCTCACTACTTAGCTGGGGAGCCCTGGAAAAGTTCACCTCTGGGCCTCAATTTCCTCATCTGTAAAATGAGGAAAATAATACCTGCTTTGCAGAGTGGTTGAGGGAATTTAGCAAGGTAATAACAAAAGGTAAGTCCTTTCCCCACAACGTGTCAGAAATTGCAGACTGCACCACATTAAGGTAAAAGTGCACCATGCAGAAAAACGCCCTGTGCAGTCTAAAATTCTGTGAGAACAATAAAATCTGGGGGTGAGCAAGCACACTGAGGAAACTGAGGCCCAGAATCAGCCTATCAATAAAATGTGCAGACCAACTCTTTCTTCCTGGGATGGCCCGGCGGAAGAAGGAGCGGAGCTGAGCTGGCAGCACGAGTTTACTTTCACGACAAAACCATTCGTTGCAGAGTTTTGGTTGCTGTTGACCGCCACCACCCCTCCTCCTGCTGCCCAAAGGCCATTCCTTCCGGAGTTAGTGCATAATCCCCAGGTCCATTTCCCACAGCGCTCAGGGAGTCCTTTATCGGTTAACCCACAGGGCCCGCACTCTACCAGACACTTTAAATAA